AGAGAAACACAACAGCAAAGAAATGTGTGCTCTTACCATGCTCAATGCAGCACCTACAGCTACACACTTGGGGTGTGTTTCCATTCTTTCTACTGCACTTTTAATCATTCATGGAAAGCATTTATCCTTGATCTAAACAAGCAGATATTAATCCATGTGTATGTTTATATTTAAGTGTTTATATATAGTTACTACATGCAGTCAGGAAAACTACAATTTCATATTTCATGGTAACAAAATGGTCTTTTAGCTCTAGATCAATATTAGAGGTGTGCTGGGAGCATGATGAGCAAAAGACTCCCTGAATGCTGCTACAAAGCTGCTTGGACATCCTACCTTGGTTTCAGTCCAGTTTTGAACAGAGCCTTGTCCACTCACATTCACTTGGATAACAGGAACTCTTTAATTTCCTTACAGGGCCCTTTAGTAAAAGTTTAGACACAAACTCCACCTTGGAGTTTGGAGTCTGCCTCCATTGTTAAAACAATGTCTCCTCCCCTTCTGCTGACAGAATCAACAATTCTTCAATCAACAATTGTTTAACACTTCTGTAGTACTTTACCATGATAACAACAGCAACTTTTTGAGATGTCATTTAACATATATCCCTGAATAATTGAATAATTGATCAATAGTAGTAGATAAAAATATTAAAATTATGTTTAACTGCAGCACTAACATCAAGCAAAGTAATACAAGACCCAGCATATCACAAATGAGCATTCTGTAGCTGAGAAAGGAAAAAACTAGAATTTAGTACTCCAGGAAATAAGTTACACTTCCTTATCATAAAAAGCTTTAATAACCTTGTTAACAATTACTTTGAGCAGTTAATTTGAGAATGTCTAAGATTAAAAAGCAGTAGTGAGCTTAAAGCTGTGTAAAAAGTCTTATCAAAAGCTGTTATCAATTTAATCATTCAAACAAAGTAGCAAATGTTACCATTTTATAAACTGGAATTCCTGGGAGATTTCTCTTAGAAGACCATCCATATGCTATAACTTTAGACATGATATATTTTATTATTATAATTGTCAGATGGCAAATTCTGTCTCTTTTTTTCAAGATAATACACTGAAAGATATCTGTTCTGTGAAGAGTACAGCATTTGGAATGTATGCAATAAATTTCAAGGCCCTTCAGGAACATGATATTGTCTCAATTGGAGTGGCTGGGAAGATTCACATTGACTCTGCTGTGCATAGGGCTGCACTTTTAACCCAGGCTAAATTTAATGATATTCCCATAAATCACCCAGTCCAGGCATTGTAGCTCAGCTCCCACAGGCAGATCCTCAGCTCCAGAGCTCTGATTAAGTCAACAGGGCTGGACATCAGAACTGATCTTGTGTGATTGGATTACAGGACTGGAGCTGTGATTTGTCCTACTGAAACCACTCTAAGGTACTTAGATAAATCCTACTATCAGATTTCTTTTCTTATTGATTACACTTTCTGAAATGCAAAAAAGAAAAAAAAGAAAACAACAAAAACAACAAGAACCCCCAAGCTTGCTTTCTCCATGTAGCATTATGATAAGGTGCATGTAGGGCTGGAAGGACAGCAGAAATACCTCTAGGGGAATAATAGTAAAAGTGGGATTTTCCACAAAAAAGGTTGTAAAATATTTGTGCTTTTTTAATTTCCTCTGAGCCCATTTCCAGTCCTTAGTTAACCCTACCCTCCCTATGTGATCTGAGCTATTTGACAATTTCTATTATGAAGGAAAACTGTGTCGAGGTTGCTTCCTGTCTCAACTTTTAATTCATACCTTCTCATTCTGTGTTTCTGGCAAAATCACCTATAGAATTAAACCACTAATTTTTCAAAACATTTTTTTTTTAATTGGTTGGTCTTTCTGGTTTTTTTCTCCATGAGTTTATTCCTTGCCTCTCAGGTTTGTGTGTGAGGCTGAGAGGAGTCACCTTGTGTCTCTCATTATCTTACCATGGCTGGAATATCTGCTAGGAGGCAGAAGAGCCCTCCCAGGCAGATCAGCTGCTGAATTTAACATGTCAATAACAAAGATTGACCAGAAATATTGTCACTTATAAAAACATTCTTTTCTACTAACTATAGTAACAATAGCCATATATAAAAGGGAATCAAACCTTTGGACAGTGCTGTTTCAATAGAGGCCTTAAAAAAAACCACTTCCTATGTGATGAAAGAGAAATGCTCCAAAATCCATTCAGGAATACCTACAATTCCTTATGGATACCTAATGAAAATATATTAGAATTAACTGTAAATTGAGCAAGTAGCAAAAAAAGCTGGATGAACTGACTGTAACAAAATATCCAGTGATGAAAAGCTCTGCAGACTTCTGCTTGCCAGCACTGGCAAGTAAGTAGTTTTGCTAAATAGAAGGAAAGCAGAAGATACAGCTATCAACTGCAAACGAATGATTATAAACCAGAAAGAAAATGTGAGGAAGAGCTCTGAAAATTATGATTGACAGTGACAACACAGACCAGACAGCTTTTATTTTAAGCAACAGCTTGTTGGGAACATACACCGTATATCAAAGTGAAGGACTTGAAACCTGCTGTAGTCTGTACAGATGTTCTCACTCAGAAAGCAGCTAGAGGGAACAGAAGATAAAAGAAGGCTGTCCAACTTCAAAAAAGGTTTGAATTTTCATTCTGTTTTGACAAGTTTTTATGCTAGTCTGTGATTTTCAGTGTGGTAGAAAATTCAGCATCTACAAACCTGACCTGAAGTGGGAAACACCTGAAGGGGTACAAGTGAACCCTTAAGAAGGTGCTATACAACATCATGAAATAGTTTTTGATGTTTTAATTTTAAATGCTTTTATACAAAAATTGGAAATGCTGTAACTGTTGTAGCTCTGGAGCAGGTCATAGGTGCTTGCAGTCAGCAGTACCTGGAATGCAAGGCTGATATCTAAGAGGCCATTTAGGAATCCCTGCTGCAGAAAAGATTTTTTTATGATACAAAGCAAGACAGGATTACTGAGCTCAGAAGGGTTATTTGTGAATAACTTGCAGCTAAAGTGATTAAGGGCTTCAGCCACTGGCCTCAGAAAAAAACCAACAAAGAGCATCAAAAACATCCTGCTTGTCATTGCTGCTGGCTTTTTGTTCAATGAGCAAGAGGTCTGTGTTGGTTTTGGTCCTTTGCCCTTGGGGGCACTTTTAACAAAACATAATACTTGAAAGAATTCCATAATGTGTTTGTCTTTTTTTTTATTTTCTTTGAACTAGGAGGTTAAAGATAAATAAAGGAGTATTTTGATATGTCTAAAAAATACTTGTGATAACAAATAGACAAAGCACTTCCTAACCTTCAAGACTTAAAAGTGCACTTTACAAACATGCCACAGTTCTTGGTAACAAAACCCCTATCCAATACCTTTTCTTTTTTTCTAATGTAAGGTAAAGCACTCCATCCCGTTTTAAAAAATCATCTCTAAGAAATGTGAGTATCTTCAGCAGAATCTTTGGTACTTGTGTTTGGTTTAAGGTTTTGAGGTTTTTAAATTTTAAGCTGCTATAATATCTGCCAGAAAAATCCAGAGCCAAGAAACATGCTGAAGAGATAAATGTTGTGATGAGTGTAAATTGGTAAGAAGTTCCTCTGGCAATCTCAGATTTGCAGAGAGGAAATTTGGGCTCCTGTACAGATGAGTTGCTCTTACAGAATTTTACAGTATGAGATGAACAAAGAGACTGCCACAAAATCATAGGCCACCACCTTAAATCCAACTTCAAAGCATCTCAGATCTTAATAGGAAGAGATTTAGGTATGCACAGAGTAGCCTGTCTATTTCTGGGTTTATTTGCAAAAGTATTCAGAGTTCTTTAACATTCTCCATGGCAGGTATCATGTCTAATTATATAAATGTATGTGAAACTATTGATAAACCATCTGGAAGTGATGACAAGATGAGTAATTAAGGCTGTGTCACACCACTGTCACAGTGGGTGGCTGGAATATCCCGGGCAAAGGTTACAATTTCCTATTTCAGGATCTACCATACAAATTCCAAAAGCCATGAGGAGCCTGCAGTGACGTGCAGGGAGCACTTTCTTAGCCATGGAGGTCTAACCACATGCCAAAACTTTATAGAATTTTATTACATTTATTATATTCAGTTTTTTCCTCTTTCCTTTTTTTCTGTTTAAATGCTTGTTTTGAGGGGCAGTATGATCTCAGCATTCACCATGAAGAAAAAAGTACACATTAATTTTGTACTCAGAGTATCAGCCTGTTCTTCAGGGCTGCCAATACCAGTTCTTTTCAGAACACAGCTCATAACAATAACATTCTTCCTCAAAACTATCACCTGTGGCAGCAAGGGATCCCCAGATCAAACAAAAACTGAGTTTTTTGAGTCCAGAATCAAAAGGTCACCTGATCACAGCTTTCAGAAGAGAGATCTCTGAAGGGTGAGTGTCTCTTATTTAAATGGTTTTTAATGTTCAACATTTAGCAGAGGATACATCTTTATTCTACTCCCTTAATGGGAATATTTCATTCAACAGAAACAAAAGCTCTGGCATTTCTGTTAATATCATGGTGATTTTAACTGTGCAGAGAAACACCAGCAATGTTTATCCTGGATGATGCAAGAGAGTTGCTGTGGCCATTACATGCATTTACCATGATTTGCTTTCCCCTTTAAAATGAACCTATGCTGTAAGATTGGAGCCAGTTATTTAGAAAATTTCTGTGAATTGCATTGAAAGCAGCCGGCTTGTTAAGGCTTCTCACTAAAATAAAGTGTGTAAAAAGAATGCCCATTAATAAATACTGGTGGCTAACATCATTAAACTAGCCTTGAATTCACATTGAGCCCTTTTATCCTCACAGAGGTTTTAAATTTGTTTGGTTTCTGTAAACACACATCTCTCAAACTGTACCTCTGGAAAAGCCACTCCCAGCCTGACTTCACTTTGTCAGAAACACAATCTCTTCAAGTACAATTTATTCAGTGGAAAATTGGAATGAGAAGCACCAAAACTACCTCTTGTCTTAAAAAAAAAAAGATTTTTATTTCTGTTTTTAAATAGCTTGACAAAACCCATCCATTGGTACTCTGAGTTCAAATGTAAACAGTTACAATACATTACTGCTGTGTATTGATTTTATACATTAACCTATTTGCAGTGACAATCCATAAGACAAGGCAAACTGAAATGCACTGTACCAAGATGTACCAACAATGCCATAACTGAAAAGACTCCAAAGGCTGATGTGTAACTCCCTCCTGTGGTGTGAGTGAGCAGCTTCACCCTCAACAGCTTCTGGCAGCTTGGGGAGCACTCCCGATATTCCAAAGTCTCTCTTCAGGTTTCAAGTCTACTGTGGAAACTTCTCTCCCAAGTTAAAAGTGTCACAATACAATTTTAAAATACATACAAAGTTGTAAACATCTTTCTCTGGAACAAAAAAATAAATGGTTTGTGCCAGCCTTCTCCACCTCCCACATTGCAATAAAAAAATAATAATAAAAAAAAATAGGGCCAAAGACCAAGGCCATAGACTAAAATTGTTCTGCAGGGATGACCTCACAGTTTACAGGAAGTATTGAGTATCAGCATTGAAAATTAGTCACCATCAGGTAGCAAAACCCATTTTCAAGAAATGGTTTCACTCAACTTCAAGTGATGAATCAGGCACTGAATGTTTGATTTCCCTACTTTTAAGAACAAAAGCTTAGATTACATTTAGGTATTATGTTTGATAATAGCTAAAACTGACTACAAACAGAAAATGAAACACTGATACTTTTGCAAGTTTGGGGTTTGACCACTTTTGCTGTCAGGTTTATAGCGACCTTCCATGAAGAAGGAAGGAATTTGCAAAACAGACTATACATATATAAAGATCACCCAAATAAAATAGACCTTTTCAAGGCAGATTTTCTTTGTGGAAGTCCCTCTGGTCATTTTCTAAAATGTTTTAGCTTTTAATTGATTTCATCATTAACCATGAAATAACCATCTTAGTCTGAATCTTGTATCACTACTTCCAAAAATACTAAGATAACTGAGATTTTGGGATGCAGTAGAGGATTAATTTCAAAGTACAATAGGATTTGCTCTTACCAGTGCAGGCTGGTAAAGGACAGCATTACTCTAGCACTTCTGAATTTATTATTCTTGTTTTCAACTGTCAGGAGATTGATATCTATGATAATTTAAGTATGGCAGTTGATCATAAATATCAGTACTTTTATAGGCAACATTTGGTTTACTTTAAAGTTCTAGCAAGTGCAGCTCTTCCTTGAGGATTAGAGGCTCTGCAGTCTAAAAAAGGGTTCTCCCCCCACTCCCAGTTACTGGTTGTAACAGAAACAAGTGGCAGAACACATTTTATTCTGTGCACTCTTAGGGGGGGAAAAAGGTTTCAAAATATTCATGTACTCTTTAATGTACTCTTCAATTTTTTGAAAAGTTACACTAGGTTCTAGCCTTAATGTATTTTATAAGCCCCAGATTCTAGCTGCAATTCTCAGCTGTCAGAGGTACCACATACTCGAATTAAATACTGGCTTTTAATTGAAGCAGCTGTTTTGAAGAGAAAAAAAAGCAGAAAAATGTCACATTGACTACATACTGCTCTGTCAGTTATACCACCTGTCATACACCCTGATGAGAGACTATGGACTCTTACATCTCTACATGGTTTCTGTCAATTTGTTGTGCATAATTAATTGCAGGACAATGTTTCTGAGGTGGAACAAAATATCAGCATATGCTTATGCTGAAAAATTATAGGGAGAGAAATATGTGCATGACCAGGCCATAAAAACAAAAGGGGCAACCTGACAATGAGATTTTATATTAGGAGAGTACATACAGGCTTGCTTCTTCCAAAAATTAAATGTGTATACCTGTAAGGGGCAAAGGTGGTGAGAAGGAGAAAGGAAGCAAACTTTGGCAAAGTTTAAGAAAGTGCTGTCATTACAGTCCTAATAATAACTTAAAAAAAAAAGAGAGAAATAAACCACAAACAACAAACCACCACACCTCAAACAACAGCAAAACCAAACCCAACACTGAAAAAGCAAAAGGCTAAAAAATGTCTACAGCTAGAACTGTCCCCTGGTCAGGATGATGCAGACACAGTAGCTGAGATTGCACTGGCTAAAAACCACATGGAGAAGAAACACCACCATCTCTACTGCATTTTGCACTGCAATGTCAGAAAGTAAATAAGCATTTGCATAAGCATCCCAACATCATACTGTGGTAAAACACTTTTTATCTACATGCAGAGCTCTGTGCACACATTTAAAAGTATATTTTCGTTTCATAGCAGAACACCACATAGTAAATTTTCACTCAAGTGTAACTAGTAGGAAATTCTCTTAATATTGAGTATTTTCTTATTTCTTTTCTAATGGCAGAAATAAAACTTTGCTATGTAGTGCAGGAAGGATCTGGACACTAATCAATGAAATTTCAGATAGCACAAGTTATTTAGTAGAACCCTGACATTTTGCTTAGAAATAACCTCTTCCTAGAGAAGGATGAGAGACAAAAATACAGAAATATGAAGGCAACTCTTGGTTGAGTATAAAGGTCCCTTACCCCTACTAAGAATATCATTTTTCTGTACTGTAATAATCATCTGAGACAGTCCTAACAGCACATTAACTCAGGAAAGTTTTCCACATTGGACATAGTGAAGCCATGAAACTCCACACAAACTGGTTCTTGGCCAAGACACCTTCCATCTTTTGAGATGAGTTACTATCAAAACATCTGTAGGAAGAGAACAGTGGCCTAAACCACATAGTGCTAGATTTATCTATAGTTTCAAAGGATGGATGCCATCCTTCAGGTTCCTTATTCTCCCTCCAGACAGGAAAAGCCATTGAAACATTGCCTCAGTCAGGGCAGGCAGTTGTGTTAGTGCAAGAACAGCGCTTTCACTCCATGGCCTCCCCAGGCTTAAAGTGCAGTCTATTACATGAGATTTTAACATACCAAACTATGCTTTATTTGAATTTCAGAAGGAATGTTCAAGTTAAAATTACCTTTTAGGTTTTAAGCAATAAAATTCAAGGCAAGGTACATAAACTATCTTAAAATGGATTAAATCCACTTATTTAAGTATTCTTTGTATCTTATGATCAATATACATATAATACACAACAAATATCCATCATTTCACTTAGCTGTATTGTATTTAAAGTGATCCTGTAATAAGTAATGAAAGGCCACACATTCAAACAAAACTTTGCTTAAAACAGGACTGTATTAGCTGGACTGTGATATGTAACACAATTCAATATTCCAAGATCTCCTCCTCCATAGGCTAGTCATCGATAAGGAGAAAACCCTTGGCACTCTGCTGTACACACATTTAAATTCTAGTTTATTGGTGGTGTCTCTCATGTTTCATTTCCTTCCCTTTGAAATCACCATGAGAAAAAGGTGCATTAAAAACTGTGGTTTTATGCCTTTAGCTACTCCTCTTGCTTATTAACCTGACAATCTCACCTCCAAGTTCTTGTGTAGAACTGTGGTTCCCGAAACACACAGCAGCTCCCAAATGACACACAGCAGAGAATGTTCCAGGCCAAAGCAGGCAGCTGTACAAACAAGGTCTCAAGTGACAACTGCAGGTACAGCTGTGCCAATGGATCCTTTGTACAGGAAGTCCAAGCACTCGAGTTTTGGGTGCAGGACTGTGTTTGTGCACATCTGAACGTAAGGTTCACCATACAGGAGAGTATGGCTGTACCTGTGGAGCTGCACTGAGATTAATGTGGAGTTGCACAACATTGTCTTTAGCAATCAAGCCAGCTTAAACAGCTCCAACCCCTCCCAGCCTTCATTCCTCTACCCTCAGCTCTGCCAAGTGGTTTTTGGGTCAAGATACAGGCAGACAGCAGCTTAACACCGTGACTCCAAGCCACAGACATTTGGAGGAATGAATGTTTCTGGTGTTCTGGGATGTCAGATCAGAATCAGATCCACATCACTTCAGGAATCTTGAACCTCTGCAACACCACGTGTTAACCTGTGTTAATGCTGCTCACTGCAAGGCTGATTACAGCAGTGGAGATGAGAGTGGATGGCTTGACTGAGAGGGAACTGCTGCTGTCAGAGTAATTACCCATGATACATAATCCAGTATTATTTTGGGACTTTCAGTTACTTTGTGACAGGTGATTGCATGGTCAAAAGTCTGCAAGTTAAGCAATCATTTAAAAGCACACCAGGGAAAAGTTATTTTCTAAATTAAAATTAAGTGGCTTTTCATCTCTTTTAGTATCCAAAAGAAACAATCAGCCAATGGGGATCATGAAAACACAATGTATCACTTAACATAAAAAGTAATATATCTTATCTTCAGCACTCAAATAAGATTTAAAAATTTCAGCACTTCTCTCCCTAAGACTGATAATCAGCATCTTATCTTCATAATCAAGGACTTCTCTACACATGTGTGCTAACAGTTCAGTAACCACCACACTGGAAACTACCAGCTTTCCAGCTAAGTTCAGTTCAAACCAAGTACAACATCACTTCTCTTTGCAAGATGAAGCAAGACCAGCTAGTGAAAAGGATACCTAGTGTGTGAACCACTTTACTCCACATTAAGTCCTCACTTTTAAGTCAGAGCCAAGGGGAAGCTGAAAATGCATCCTAACCCTCACACCAATACCTCCCTCTTGATGTGAGCCTTTAGAGCACATTAAGCTGACCTACAGCAATGCCCCTGCTGAGGATTTTGGACATCAAGTTCAAAGTTTGACCTACTGCAGGATGAGTTTCTCCACTGAAGTGCCACCAGGAGCCTATTCCTTAAAATTCTGTTCACCAGCAGCTCTATGGATTCCAGTATTCCTGCCCTGTTCTTTGGCAAACCTCATTATCACAAACCTGTCCCAAAGCCAAAGTCAGCAGGCCCAGAAGCTGTCACTGTACTTCAGCAATAACAATCATTCTTTCAAGGAAAAAGAATTGTTTGGAAAGTTGTTTACAGTGTCTATTGTAGCACAATAAAGCTCACAAGGTATTGTTAAATTAGAGCAGTACCATCCTTGGAAAGAACACTGCTGACAATTATGCTGTATTGAAGACCAGCCTCCCAACAGCTTTCCAGTTCCAAGTGTTTTAAGGACTGATACATCAGTTGCTGTTGGATTCAGAGCAGGAATTCAATTCTACAAGAAACAAATTTCATTGGACATGAGTATAAATAGTAGTAGCCAGAACACTCCACTAATACAAACTCTATAGAAAACAAAGGATCTGTGCTAATCAAATTGGGTTCTAGTTTAGTGTTATCAGCAGACCTGCAGAAGTCGCAGAGTCTGAAAATTATGAAGTTCTTTACACTCAGATGTAGCTATTCCTTACCATAAAAAAGTCTTCCATCAGCCAGTTTAACTAGCAATTATACAACTATAGTTTTTACTTCAGCTAATTCTCACTAAAACCTGAACTGTAACCTTGTCTCTTATTTTCTTGTAATATTAAAAATAGTCATTATTAAAATCTCAGTACTTTTTTACCTTCACTACTGCATACCAGAGACCTGCTAGTGCAAAAGCTAGCACAGAGATTACTAGCTGTATGATGTGAAAATTATTAGTCACATATTGTATATTCATAAGCATTTGCTCATATCCAAGTGTTTGCTCTGAAGATACAAGGTTTAAGCAACAAAGGAAAAAACATGGTTTCTGGTTGTTTGAGAGTCCCATAGCAGAGTTGTTCAGAGAGGCAACTGGATTAGAACAGGAATCAGGAAGTCCACCAAGCTCCAATGCTTTAAAAAATACAAACTGCAATTCATTCTCTTTGCTACTGCTCATTTCTAATTCCAGAAACCACAGGTTTTTATTATACTGCAAATTTCCCAGCCAGAATTGTGCAAAACATACAAAGTTGTCTCCTGGGCAGCCTGAGCTGAAGTCTCCAGAGATGCTACAAGCTTCTTCCAGCCAGCCTGTTACTGAAATGCCACCAATGCAGTGAGAAACCCTATTGAGATTGTCTTTCCCAGAAGAAAAATGCAGATGAAATGAATCCTTCCAAGGAGCAGCTGCACTTGAGTTTGTTCCTGCTGATTCACTGAAGCTCAGAGGCATTTCCTTGCCAACAGAAGACGGAGGTATAGTATTAAAGAGAGAAAAATTCCTGGTGTTATGTAATTCTTGTAAACTGCTACTATGATTTTGAGAACTGTCCAACATGGAATGCACGTGTGTCAGGTGAGCTGCTGGCTTGTGGTGATCTGGGCCATTGTCACATACTCGTTTCTGGGTAAAATCTTCTTTCTTCATAGTCCTAGAGCACACGAGCACAGCTTTGATGCTTCACAACAGGCTGGATTTGAAGAAGAGTGACTGAGTCGAGTTGCAGCATACAGCAGAAGCAGCACACCAAGTCACAAGTCAATGGATCTCAATATGGACCTAAAGAGAAAGAATGCAGGAAGTTATTACACTGATAACCCAGTTTCCTGGTTCCCAGTGTACTGAACCAAAAATAATTAACACTCTTTCACATAAAGAATAACCCAGCTACAGAAAGTAACAGTTGTCCCAACAGATAAGTCCCCCTACAGGCTGCCTGAGCACATCCAGAGGGGTAGGAAGTATGCCCAAACACCAGCTGCCCTTCTATAGTTTCAGTTTAATCTGCTACGAGCTCTCTTTCGGTGACAGGCATGAAAGTGAGTCAGCAAAGGAGAAGCCAGAGAGATTCGCTGTGTAACAGCAGCATTTCCCCTCACCAATGGACAGGCTGGGGCTGATTACTGGCTTAACATGGAAGGTTAATATTAAAGTAATCCTCCTGTAAACAGAAGTGCAAGCTGAAATCAGACACACAACGCTGGAAATCAATAAAAGCTTCCCGGAGGGAACTGGTCAGACTGGCTGGCCCAGCAGTTAGCGGGGATCAGCTGTAGCACAAAGGAAAGCTGGTGCTGTTCCAGGAGAGCCATTCTGTACCAACACTGATAACGAGCAAAGGCAAGGCTTTTTCAGCTACCAGGGTTACCAAGCTACGTGTACAACTCCTGGCCATCTGGCTCATTTTCAAGCATTTTCAAGCTTCAGAATTTTAGGGCAAATTGCAACAACAAAAATAAGAGATGCCACATTTTGACCTCTTCCCATTTCAAATTACCTTTTACAAGTAACAAACTCTAACCAGACTTGTTTTGCAGCCCTTGGCCACTGGCCAGATGTCAAAACTTTCATTACAGCTATGTTTACGAGGAGAAAGAGTGTCTGATCCTTGGCTAGAACAGATGCTTGTAGCAACAGTGCACAGCCTGTTCCTGCTGCCAGTTAAGTTAAAAGTAAATCTTTTATTTCACAAAAACAATGAAACTCCAACCCTACAACAGGTCAAAGCTGTGTTAGAGTTCCACGTTTTGTAGAAACAGGCTCAAAACAAGAGAGATACAAATTCAATCTGAAGCATCTTTTTCATGCAATAACACCGGGTTTTAAAACTGTCTGCATTTTCCGTACTGCAACTATTCTTGATTTCAAAAAACCCCAATCAACCGATGAAGGAAACTGTTTGCTCCTTACAAGGTGTCAGGACCGTGCTATCAAAGTGCACATATTCACAATTTATTCTCAGTATTTAAGTCAGCTATGGCTTAGGAAAAGGCACAGGGAAGCGGGGCGTTTGCTGCTGACGCGCAGAGCGAGCAGCACAGCGGGGCACTCGCCCCCGGCCACCGGCAAGGACAAGGCTGCGGGGCTGCATCCGCGCAAAGCCAAGCGGCACTGCCGGTGACACGGGGCAGGCACAGCCCCCGCCCCGCCGCACGGACCGGCACTCCCTGGGGGCGCTCCGCCGTTATCGGGAGAGCGGCTGCGAACCGCCCCCGGGCCCGGCCGGTGACACCGGGACACGAGCCCGGCCCGGCCCCGCCGCCCCCGCCCACCTGCAGCCGCACGTTGAGCATCATGGAGGCGACGATGTAGAGGTAGGGGAAGTTGATGCGGAGCTTCCAGGCCAAGTCGAAGAAGATGAGGAGGGTCCTGGTGAGCCCCTTGCAGAACACGCCGTAGGACCTGGCCGCGGCCGACTGGGAGAGCCTGGCAGCGAGTGCGGACAGAGCCGCCGCCATAAACCCGCCCCCGCTCCCGCGGCCGCGCCGCGCCCGGGCGCCGCCGCCGCCTCCCCGCGCTGCGCGTGCCCGCCGGGCGGGGCGCGCGGCCGCGCGTCAGCACCGCGCGTGCGCCGGCCGGGCCAGGCCGGGCTGCCGCAGCGCGCGGCTCTGCTGGATGCGCATGCGCGGGAGGCGGGCGGGGCGGGGCCGTTGGAGCGGGAGCTGCCCCGCCCTCACGCGCCGCCCCTCGGACCGGGCCCCGGTGCCGGTGCCGGGAATGGGAATGCACGGGGAGCTCGCGGGGTCAGCACAGCGATCATCGAGTCCCGCTGCTGGCCCTGCACAGAGCACTCCCCAGGAGTCCCGCTATGGGCCTGAGAGCGTTGTCCGGACACTTCCTGAACTCCTGTCAGGTTTGGTGCTGTGGCCGCTTCCCTGGGGAGCCGTTCCAGCCCCGCCGCCCTCTTGGGGAATGTTCTGCTGCTGATACCCAACCTTAACCTCCCCTGGGTTACCGTCACTAAACCCATTTTGTGCGGGCCTGAGCCAGGTGTGCTCTCGGGCCTGCTCAGTGGCGCCTGCACTGATGGATGTTGTGGAATCATGGAAGGATTTGGGTTGGAAGGACCTTTCGGGCCACCCAGTTCCACCCAGGAACACCTTCCACTGTCCCAGGTGGTTCAGTCCCCATCCAGCCTGGCCTTGGACACTGCCGGGGCTTCTCCACAACAATCTGTGCCAGGGCCTCACCTCCCTCACATGGGGGAATTTTCTCCGAACATCTAAACCCACTCTCTTTCAGTGTGAAATGTCAGTGATGGTTTCTGGGTTTGGGTGCATGTTTTTGTTATTTTGTTGTTTACACAGCCATGTGATAAATTCAGTGAGCCAGCTGCTGTCACAAGGAAATGCTTGCTTTGCCTTTCAAGCCAATATTTGAGTTACATAATGAATTAAAAATACGCTGTTCAGGTCTGGGTTTCACACAAGATTTTAAAAACATTTTGCAAACATTTCCCAGGAAGGTCTTTGAGATAAATTACCATAATGACACTTTCAAGTAGGCAAAAATGTCCCAACAGATGAATAGTTGACCAATATAATTTTTGGACATGGCCCCCTTTTTTTTTGCCCTAGAACTGTTCTTTACAGTTTCCATTCAATCAATTTTCAATAAATGAAATGAAACAGAAAAATCAATACATTGACCTAAACTTCTTATAAAATACTATTTTATTGACACAGAATCAAGCTAATGTATAGAGAAAGAATCATTCCAGAGCAGGACATTCAGCAGCTTTCCATTACTAATTGGAAAACCATGTAGGATAGACAAAGGTTAAATCAGGAAGCAGATTAACTTTATATTTACCAGTAGATGTCTGCCAGTCTCATTAGTTCTGGCTCATGTTGCACATTGCAACATGAGTGACACAGTATCAATTTTAAAATCTTGATTAAGAGTAAATTAATCTTTCTACCCTAAAATAGGCAATATAATTAATAAATTAGGTCATAATAACAAGTTAGCATCAGTATTTATTTGGATCTAATTATTTCATTAAATAGTGAGATTGATAAAACACTCTTTAGCTTTCCAACAAAGAAATTAGCAGATAATGCAATTGAATACCAATTGAAGAGATTTACCAGATTTTGTCACATGAAGATTTGGAAATTAGCTAATTATTTTGATAGTGAACTAAACCTCAAAGGCATCCCACACTTCCTCTTTTGGTTTCAGCTCTGTCATGGTGGTAAAATCATTTTCAATTTAGCTAAAACACTGATTACTTTAGTTTGCAGAAACCAAAACTATTGACATGCAATTTGCAGCTGATGCCTGTAGAGATCATTTTCCATCACTTTAATGCCATCATCTCACTTTTGCTTCTCAGCCCTGACTTGTGTTTTTCTGTTGCATAGAGAACATCTTTATCTTCTGGGGGGAAAAAAGACTGTAGGTTTTCATACAATTTGTATATTCTATTTATGCCAAAAAAAAGCTATTTTGTATTTATTTATTATATCTATTACTCTTAAAAGTTCTTCAAAATTTCCACAAATGGTCCCAGTGAGTAATAGATCCCAGAATATATAATCACTTTTTAATAATTGTCTTATTTCTGTAATAAATGTGCATTTCTGTTTCAAGTGTTGATCGTGCTGTATGATGAACCCTGATTTTAATTTCTGGCTTTGACCTAATGTGCTATGGTTTTTTTTTTGTCTGGTTTTTGTCTTGCTCTCCACTCCAAGAGAAGCTGTTCAGTTGGGATGTGAGTCACAGCTGTGCAGCATGACAGGAGGAAGTAGGCTTCTTCCCATTCCATCTGTTCTCAGACAAGCCAAGCACAGAAGGTTTGGTCCTTTTTTAGGTCCTAGCTCTGCTGAAGTCCATAAGCTTGTCTGCAAGTCTGGAGCAAAACAAACATGAAATCTTTCTAAGGAAATCAGGGGCCACATCACAGCTTGTAGCTTTTGGCTTTATTAATGTGAGAAATGACTGGACAATGGAAGGCAGCAAAACTAGTGATACCAAGTGGGCTTGTGTCATGGTTAAACCTTGATACCCTTTTCTTGCTATTTTAAGGCTCATTTCTGTGAAATGTTTGATATCAAGATGGAAGTTGAGAGGCCCTTGCAGCTTCCATGTCTGTGTGTTTCAGCAATGCCTCACCTCAGGGCATGATGTGATGCCTATAAAAGGCTTATTCCCATATTTCTGCTGAGGGAGTTAAAGGGGATATAAAACTGAAGAGAAAAACACAGAGAGAAGTGTCAGGTGGTTGTTTATAAATATATAATGATGCCTCTATTCCAAAAGCTCCCAGCCATATACTGGGATTACTGTGTGTAGTCCCATGGCCTCCCACAACAGTTGAAGCACTGTCTGTTACTGCCTGCTAAACCTGGGGGCAGACATCAGTGAATGCAGAGCCTTATGTGGTTTTTGTAACTGAAATTCCTGACAGAAGAGAGATTGATCAGAACTACCTAAAGAAAATACAGGACTTGTTTCTGTTTTATTCAGATACCAGAGAAATCATCTATGCTAGAATCACATGAATGGGATGCATTTATTTTACAATGCTTTATTAATAATGTAAAGATTTACATCCTAACATTTGATTTTTATGCTCCTTTAATCTGTTCTCTCTGATGCAGCAAATGCTGACATTTAAAACTTGTGGTTCCTTTTTTATTGCTGGCTTTGGTTCCTCTAGAGCAGACTGACTGCTATATTTGAACAGTGTACATATCACATGCAAGTACAGGGTTTTTTCAACACTCAGGAAGCTAATCATGCCAAAACTGTTTGCCTGGAATATCTATCCATTACTTCTGGATTAGAATATTTTCTAACATTAATTTTCTGTCAGGGTACTTCCCCAAGTTCTCTGATTTTCCTCCACAGCAATAGTGCCACTTTCCTCAATTAAAAATATGTGCTCCATTACCTTGACAAAGAGATATCAACTAAAGAATTCAAACATCATTAAGCAAAAAACTTGGCATCTCAGGCAACTGTTAGGTGAGAAGCTTTAGGTAATAGCTACTGTCCAAATAGCTGGAATAAGAACTACTGTCTGGATTTAAAACCAGAGGGCAGAGGGGCTCAGAGAGTGACAGGCCAGAAAGGTGGATAGCACCACAGGTGGAACCTGAGTCCAGGAGGGAATTTTGAATCCTCACTGCTGTCTAACATTGACTTCTTTCTGCCAGGTACTCTGTAAATACCTGACTTTTGCCACCAACCCAAATTAGGGTCAAGCCTTAATTACAACTCTTACAGACAATTATGTCAGCTATTATAAGATGAAAAAGCATCTGGAAACCCTGTTTTCTCCAGTAAGGTCTCTCTGTTTTGTGTGAGGTTTGGGGGGTTTTGCTTCTGGTTTTGATAGAAATTATCTAAAGAAAGAAGAGTGCAATATGCTGAAAACTTTATTCCACCCTCTGACCCTTCACACCTCTGCCTCACATAGAATTGGCTTTTGCACTTTAGTCCAAGCCCCAGTTTCCAGGTGAATTCCAGTTGCAGCTTTTCACCCTGAACCAGTTTTTCCATTATTGTTAAGAACAGAAGGTTACTTTTGACCTCAGAGTTGTACATGCTGTGTCCTGCAGCAGCTGAACAGAACCCCTGTCAGCTGGAGGTGTCACTGTGAGGAAGGGAGACACTGTGAATCACTGCCAGGTGTTCTGCTTGTTTCCCTGGACAAAGTGTACACTGGCTCTTCTCTATTTCCCTGTGCCTTCATTCATGAGCTGTCAGCCACAGAGCACAGTAATAATTGGGGATGAAAGATACTACAAAAGTGCCAATAATTACTGTCTCTGTAACGTTGATAGTCTGTGTCATGGTGAGTAGAACTTTCTGGTATTGCATCAGGGTGATTACCCTGCCACTCCCCATCCACAAGGGAGAATAATCCTCCCTCAGTGCCAGCACACACACAATGCACACATTCAGGCACTATCCCAAACAATCTTAAGTAATGATTTCTTCTTGTTGTCTAAGAAAAAGGCTTTCAACAGGAATTGTAATGGTGAGAGAAGACAAGATGATAGAGTGTGGAATAATATTGAGACTGATCTAAGCCTCAGCTGTATGATTCATGATTTTATCAGAGGTATGGAAAGATTTATAATGGGTTATTGTCACTGCCATTCATTATTTTCTTCCATCCTACTCCTCTGTGAGGTGCATTTGTAACTATTCTGTGTACAACTCAGCACTGCAGTCATATCTATCCAACTGAGAATTCTTCTAATAAGTTGTCTGTTATTAACTTCACTCCTTTGCCCTATGTTTCATCCTGTAAGTTTCCATGTTGTTCTTTCTTCTCACTCTCAGGGAAAAATCCATACCTGCAAAGTGTTGAGTATTTGTAGCATGATGTAAGTTATCTTTTTCTCTTTAAAAACAAACACACTGCATACTAGGTGAACCAAAAAAGATGCAAGAATGAAATAGAATGTAGCTGGAATATAGTAATGTTTCACAATAGAATAATTATCACATCATGTATTTTAAGGA